CTTTACTCATTATTCCAATAACTCTATATGTTTCTTTGCTCTCAATTGTAGCAATCAGCCATTTCATATTATTTTTCCCTACTTCTGAGTGTTTACTTGGATTAATCTTTTAATTAGCTGGAGTACACCTTGCATATATTTTTTTAAAAGGAAGTTTAAATGTGTTTTATATTTCTAAGCACTTGTGTCACTGAGATTTTTCCACATGAGTAATAACCTCTGAATTCAGGACTCTTGGATTTTAAGAGGTTTCTCTTCAAATCTCTGTGAACAATGTTTCCTTTTTGTCTGGCATCTATTGATAATTCCAGGAAGAGTCCATTTGTTACCCTCATAATTATTTTTTTGCTGAAACATTGTAGAATAATTTTTAAGCTCAAAAACAGTTTTTAAACATATTTCTGATTTTTTTTTCATTTTCTCTTCATTATGAACAGAATTGCTTTTATATTTAATTTTTGATCTCCTGTTCTCTATTATTTTTCCATTTAAGTTTAGTCCCAAAATGGATTAAAGAGACATACAATATGGAAGTGTTGATGGAAGCAAGAGACTTATCATCATCTTCAAAAAATTCTTGAAGTTTATGTGCAGCAAGGTAGTAGACAGAGGCATGTATTGCATGGTTTGTACTTGGTACAGTTCCTGATTTTTCAGAGCTAGACAAGTATTCAAAATACTTTAATTTTTCTTACTAATTTGTACTTGACCAGGGTGCTTTTATTATTTTAGATCACAAATTTATTTCTTAGTTTATTTGCACTGATGGTAGAGAATAATTCCTTTGAGATTCTGATCAATTATAACCTTGCTTCTGTTTTTTGAAACTACTGCTAATTTGTGTCCTCTTGAATGTTATATAATTTAAACAGAAGTGAAAGAAATATCACCATTTAAACCTGAAGTATCCTAATTGTTTTTTCCTTATAAACTTACAATTAAAAATTATTACTAAAGGAGGAAATATGTATAAAATAATACAAAATATGGATATGAAAATAAAATAAAAAGACTCTTGATTCCCAGAAAAGAATAATGTTAAAATATTGTGATAGACTCTTCCAGATAATTTCCCTTAAAAATATGTACACATACTGGAGAGAAAGAAAAAATGCTGATTTAATAAGTAGAGGTAGAATTGTTCCTAAGTAAAGGACACACTGTCTTGTAAAACATGAGGATGGCTGGTTTTAATTATGGAAGATCGTCTTCATGGAAGATGAAGAGGGTGGGTTAGGACTAAGACAAAGAAGACCAAATATAGAATCCTTACCTCCCTTTATGCCCCCTTACTGACCCATGTTTGTAATATAATATTCTTGAATATCTCCTCTACATATATTTAGAATCACATTAGTGGTATAATTTCAAAACCATCAAACATTTTAGAAAACTCAAAAGAAGGAAAGTCTATTTTATTTACTCATTTTTTAAAATACTGTATTCCTCTTTCCTGATGTTCCAAAGTTCCTTCTTTTATTGTTTCTTTTCTGTTTAGAGAACTTCCTTTAGCTCTATTTTTGGGACAAGTCTGCAAGCAACAAATTATCTTAGTTTTCCTTCTACTGAGAATGTCTTGATTCCCCTTTCATTCTTTTATTTTAAAATTTTTATTGGAGTATAGTTGCTTTACAATGTTGTGTTAGTTCCTACTGTACAGCAAAGTGAATCAGCTATACGTATACACATAGCCCCTCTTTTTGGATTTCCTTCACATTTAGGTCACCACAGAGCATTGAGTAGAGTTCCCTGTGCTATACAGTATGTTCTCATTAGTTATCTGTTTTATACATAGTATCAATAGCATATATGTGTCCATCTCAATCTGGGTTGACAATTTTTTCTTTCAGCCTGGCTTCTGCAGTTTCTGATGAGAAATCTGCTCTTTAGTTGTTTTTCTCCTATTGGTAGTGTCATTTTTCTATGGGTGCTTTTAAGACTTTTCCTCTCTTTAGTTTTCAGATGTTTAACTATTGATGTGCCTTAGTGTGAATTTCTTTATGTTTATCCTGCTTGAGTTCCACTTACTTTAATCTGTTGGTTTATGTCTCGTCAATTTAAAATTTTTCAGACATTATTTCTTGGGGTACACTTTTAGACCCATTCTTTTTCTCTTCTCCTTCCAAGTTTCTGATGACACCTGTTCTTTTCTCTTTCCTCTGTGATGGTTCATTTGGATGATTTCTCTTGTTCTGTCTTTTAGTTTACTGATTCTTTCCTATGTCCCTCTATTCTGGAGTTGATTTCATCCACTCAGCTTTGATTTCAGTTATTGTATATTTCAGTTCTAAAATTTCTACTTGGTTCTGACATCTTCTATATCTTTGCTGAGATTTCTATCTCTTTGCTGAGGCTTTCTGTTTTATTTTTTAATTTTAAAAAATTTGCTTCAAGCATGTTTTTAATTGTTCATTGAAGCATTTTTATCATGGTTGCTTTAAAGGATTTGTCAGATTAGTCTCACATCTCTGTCATCTCAGTGTTGACATGTAGTGAATGTATTCTTTTTATTCCCTTTTGAGATCTTCCTTGTTCTTGGTATGATGAGTGATTTCTGATTGAAACCTGCATAATTTCATTATATGTTCTGAGTCTTTGGATCTTATTTAAACCTTCTCTTTTCACTGGCTTTGTTTGACACTTCTCTGGAAGAGGAAAAGCTGTCTCAATACTGTCAAGTGGAGACAGAAGTTTAGATTCCCCACTTCGCCTCCGTTGACACCTGACCCGATTAGGGGAGGCTCTTCATCACTGCCGGGCATGGATGTTTGTGTTGTCATTGACACCATGGTGGGGGTGGCCTCATTATTATTGAGAGATGGTGAAGGTCCTCACTCTTCACTAAGCCTTCTCTAACGCCGTTCCACTGGGGAATGAGAAGTCACGGAAGTCCAGGCTCCCCATATGGTCTCCATTTACACTGCAAAGGGATATTGTTACTGGCTAGAGGGGATAAAAGTCCTAGGTCCCTACTTGGCACCCTCAGATACCATCCCTGCAGGGGCATGAGAGCACCACCTTCTAGTCTTGTGAGGGAGGAAGTTTACGCTCTACACCTGGTCTTTGCTGGCAGGGGTGCTGATGGGGTCACAGGTTTTACTCTGACTTTTGGCTGGAATAGGGTGGTTATGGTCTAAAAGTTTTCTGTCTTGTTAGTCTGCTCCTTTCCTGGTCCTTTGTTAGAGAGAGTGATCTTTTGGGGGGCCTTTTTCTATCCTCATTTTTATCTCTGAGTTGCTGGCTTTTCAGCTCCAAGTCTGGGATGGTATGAGAGAAGAAGAAAGCCCAGGAAACTCACCACCATATTATTCTCTGACTGGGCTGCCTTTGCTCCACATTTCAACTGTCTTCTTCTTCTTCCCCTTCTACTTCCTCCTCCTCCTCTTCTCCTTCTTCTTCATTTAAAAAAATTGTGTATCTGCCGCGGAGCAGCTGGGCCCGTGAGCCATGGCCGCTGAGCCTGTGCGTCCGGAGTCTCTGCTCTGCAACGGGAGAGGCCACAACAGTGAGAAGCCCACGTACCGCCAAAAAAAAAAAAAAAAATTATGTATAATATCCAGGATTTGTTGTGGAACTTAGGTGGTAGAATAGGGAAATGTGTGTCTAATTCAGCTTCTCCAAAGCAGAAGCCATCCCAGGCCTGGTATGGCCTCATTCTTATTATTTAACTACTGCTTTGTGTATTTTTTTCTTCCAAAATGACACTTGGTTAAGTTGTTTTGAGGAGACTTATACAGTAAGGTTATTAACTCTTTTGTCCTATATGAGCAAATATTTTCTGAAATTTTTTATTTGACTATTAATTTTATTTATGTTGTTTTTTTCAGCCACATAAATTTTAAAACATTCTATGGGAAAATGTCTGTAATAGTTATCCTTTACGAATTCTTCCATTGTTTTGAACTAATGTACTTTATGACCATTCTGCAATCCAATAAATTTTTTATGAATATTTTTTCATTTTATTATTTTAAATTTGTTTCTTTTGGTTTACGTTTTACATTTAATTCTTTAATCCATGTGGAGTTTGTGTGTGTAATACAGGTGAAGCCATCATGTAGTATTTTGTTTTATGAAAATAGTTAACAAGCTATGCCACTATCCTTATTAAATAATCTCTTCTTTCTTTAGAGCCTAGAATTAACTCTGTGTGCTCTGATTTCCATGATGTGATGTTATTTTCTGTATTTCTGATAAGGTCACCACTCCATTTAACCAGAGGCCTTAATCTCTTCTCTCTCAGTCTTGCTTTGTCAACAAAGAAGATGCCATCTCCACAGTTCATTAATTCCTAACGCCCTCCAGTCTAACTTCCTCCATGGAGCAGCTGACTATCTGGGGACGAGAAAGTCAAGACTACTATTTATTTTTCTTTTGTTAAAACAATGGCATTGCCCATTATTCTGCAAAAGAAACACTGTGTATGGGGCCCATGCTAAAGGACACTGAAATAAAATGGTGGGGGGAACATGGGTATTTAAAGAGAAGGGAGTCAAGAAAGGTCTTTCTCTAATTCTTCAAGATATGAATTATGGAAGTTTCTTGCATTTCATTTGTCTTTAACTAAAGATGACAGTTAATACAATAACTAAAGACACTCAGTTATTTTACTGAAGGGTAATTGACTTTGGAATAAAGCAAATATGATTTTGAAGCTACCTGGTTTCTGCCATGTGGAAGTTAGATGTCCGAAAGAAAGTAAATTTGCTCCTTTGAAAATTGTTTTCTTTACCAAACATATTGGTTACCAGTGGGGAGAGAGAAAGGGGGAGGGGCAAGATCGGGGGTAGGGGATTAAGAGATAAAACCACAAGGATATAGTGTACAGCACAGGGAATATAGCCAATATTTTATAATAACTTAAATGAACTATAATCTATAAAAATTTTGAATCACTCCTTATTATCTGTGAGAGTTTTAGACAAGTTATTTAATCTTACATGTCTTAATTTTCCTCATCCATAAATAGGGCTAATGTTAGGAGTTACCTTGTAGAGCTATCATGGCTGGCACATAACATGTTCTCAGTAAAATATTAACTATCACTATTGACTTCAAGCTCTTCATCTTCCAGATGGGAAGCTGATCCAGAGGAGGAACCAAGTTGGCAGAGCAAGGACGACAGTTCTCATTTTCTGATTCTCAGCCACCCAAGATGGCCCCCGAAGGATCTCAGAGCTAATCCTTCCCGAGGAAAATGAATTCTGCTGTTACTAAGAGGGAAGAATTATCTGATCTATAAATTAACACGAACGTGAAGCATGTCTGATTTTTGAGGCATCTAGAAATCTAGAATAGACAAATCCTTGAAAAAGAGGGATTTTCTTTTTTCGCATGTCCATCTTTTCTGCTTGATACTTAAGAAAATTAAAGTGAAAACTGAACTTATGTTGATCATACAGAATACACACAAGAGCCTAAAGTATGCATTTCAAAAAGAAGAGACTTTCATGCCTCCTGCAAATACTCAATATTCTCTGCTCTTTCTGTCAACAGTATATCAGGTTCTAGATAAACAATTCCACCCAGATTTGGGGGCAGGGAAAAATACTACTTAATTTAATTTTAATCTTTTTACCAAAAGCAGTATATTATTAAATATGGTTTAGAGTTTAAACTGAGATAAACCTTGTTAATGATCAGGAGGCAAACATAATAATAATAATTTAAAAAAACACCCAAACTATGTTAGTATATTCTGTAGTTGGTTTTTTTCATTTGGAAAATAAAGACAGAGCTAGTTCTTCATGTTCAGCAAGCATACGTAGACCATTCTTTCTATCTACGCCATCATTTCTTTAAGAAAACAGAACATGCTACATGAACAGACCTTTCCATAGGGCCTCAATTTTAATTTTCCAGAGTTTGGAGAAGCAACATCCATCAGTTTCCCTCAACAGTTGAGAATAATGCTGTTTTTGTCATACACAGTGTCTATTTTGAGCTCAAATGTGCACACTGACTGTAGACTATAGGCTTGCAGACCTGTCAGCACAGTGCCCCATTACAAATTGTCCCTTTAGCAAGATGACATCATCTTAGCAGCCTGCTCTGGTTACTACATTCTCCCAGGTTTCACCAAGTCAAACAAGGTGATGGCATTTTTAAGGCTCTAGATTTTAGTGGTCTTCAAATTAAGGTAGGTGGCCAGGTGCTATTTCAGGGTTTCATCAGGCAACCTCGTGCTAAATTTGAAACTAAAAGGGGGTGCTTTTTTATACTGGAAACATAAATATTGGCATTTATGCAAATGGCTGCTGTAACAGGAAGTGACTTCATATATCATTACCTGAAATAAGATTATAGGAGGGTCTAACTTTAATCTGAATGACTGTTAAAACCTGGGACATGTTATCTCTCAAGACGACTGTGTTAGAATCTAAGCAACCTCTATTTGCATTTTGAGCCTTCTACTTATTGGATGCTAATAAAAACCCTGTACTTTAATTATTTCACACATTACCGGTACATTTTCTAATTTTCTGTGAAGACGTAATCATGTCTGAAACAGATACATACCGTGATCCATAAACAACCATGTCTGCTCTTTAAATTGTATCCTTTGCCCAGGAATCAATTTTGCTGAAAAATGGACCATGTCCGTACATGGGCAAAGAGAGTCACATGAAAATTATGATAGGTAGAGATAAGTTAAAGAAGAAACACTTGGAGTCACAAGACTTGAAAGGAATTCCCAGCACTAGAAGAAGTGTATGGGTAAAGAAAACATTGCTTAGCTTTTTTTATTGTTCATTTCCTTCCTCTAAAATAGTAGCAGTAATAGCATCTGCTCATAGGCTGGTGAGTGTTTAAATGAGACAATGCAAGCAAAGAGCTTCACAAACAACAACAAAGAATATTATCTGTCCTTCCTCTATGACAAATACTCTGCCAAGTCCTTTTTGAACCAGGTTTGTGTTTTGCAAAACAGTACCTAAGTAAAAGATAGCATTAAATGTGCAATGTGTACATACATTTATGTACATAATTTGAAATGTTCGTGACTAACTGTAACTAAAAACTAAATGATTGAATGCATAAAACTTGCTATTCTGCTTATCGTTTTCTTCTTCAGCTCAGTGATTTTAGAATTTTCAAGTTTACTTTGGTAAGTAACTCTCCTGTCTACTACTTTGTATAATTCTCTACTTTGTTCATTGAATTCAGTGAAACACATTCTGTATGGGAATTCATTCTCAGAAGCAGAACTGGCCTTAGGAAGGTCATTCATTCTTATATCCAACGCTGTCCCAGGTGGGTATACATCTGCCCAAGTTTTGGAGGTGTTTTGCAGATCATTTAGAACAATTCAAAATCAATAAAATGTTAAGAATTTGAAAAGCAGACTATTAGTCATGTAAAAATAAAACTACCTTTGGTTTTCTAATAAGCTTTTGTAAATAAGTGAGAAAGAATGAAATTTTGGAGATCTCACAACTTTGCTTTGATAATTGAAAAATGCAGCAGAAGCAGTGTCTAAGTAAATTTTTTAGCTAGAAATTTTAGGACATTAAGCCCTATAGATAAGAGAACCAGGAACTCTAAATATTCATAACATGTTGGCATTCATTTAAAGTAGGATTAATCCAGAGGACATTTATCTACACAATAAACATAAATAAATGTTCTTTGGGGTTCTGGCTATGCTTTCTATTCTAAACCTACTTGTAGGCTGAGACTGATTTCTTAGTTTTATAAATACTACATAAATTTATAATCCCAAATTTTCATCTTCAGTTCAATCCTTCTCCTGTACCTTATATCTAACATCCTGTTCTACAGCTCCACTCTTTTTAAAAAATAAGTTTTCTGGATTTCATAGTTACTGTTATGGAACAGAAATCTTGCCATTTAAATCTTTTCTAGGTGGCGAAAGAGAAATGTGATCAGAAATAATTTGTTTTTTGAGTTTAATTTTGTTTTTTGAGTTTAAATCTAAATGAAGCTTTCTCTTCTTTGCTTCATTAGAAAAGCACAAAATAAAGAATAACACATTATCTTGGTCTTTTTTTCCACTTTCATTGGAAATAAAGTAATGTTAATTTCAAGTAGTAAATAAATCTTCGCATAATTAAATTGTGCTATGATACTAAATTTATAGAACAATAGAGTAAAGCTGACATGGAGGAGGTTGCCAATAAACAGAGAATCTGTTTTAGATTCTTATTTTTCTGAGTAATATCTATAGGTAAGCAGTGGCTACCTATGTTAGTAAATTTAATATTTAATTCATTCAACTAACATATTGTGAGAACCTATAAGGGACTATTTGTTGAATGAATAATTCAATAAACAAATGCTTAAAGTAAAATGGTAAGATGCAGAGAGGAATAGATAGCATAGCTTAAGAAAGAGCAAGGTTGTAGAGTCCTACAGTTACTGTTTTAATCTTGATGCTGAATTTGAATCCCACCCTTTTCTTTACTCTGGCCGTCTCTTCACTATTTGCTCCCTGGAAGCAGAGAATCAGTGTGAGGACTCTGAAGCCCCAGGAGAGTACAGAGCCCGAGAAAATGCCTGGTTCCTTAAACGTCTGAGCAGTGTAGAGTTTCCTGGTTGATCTATATTGGACTGTGAGGTAAATGAGAAGAAAACTCGCATTACATTAAACCTCTGGGATATTGGGTGGGCTAGAAACTGCATCCAGCCTATCCTGGCTAATAAAACTACCTTCAAGGGTTGAGGTTAAGAGTAAATAAAGATAATATTTAACTCACCAGCACAGAAGCCCTTTCCTTTGATACATAGAGACACTAAGAAGATCAGTGGTTGCCAGGGGTGGGATTGCAGGGAGGGACGAATGGGAGAAACACAGAGGATTTGGGGGGCAGTGAAAAAACTCTGCATAGGGCTTCCCTGGTGGCGCAGTGGTTGAGAGTCCGCCTGCTGATGCAGGGGACACAGGTTCGTGCCCCGGTCCGGGAAGATCCCACATGCCGCGGAGCGGCTGGGCCCGTGAGCCATGACCGCTGAGCCTGCGCGTCCGGAACCTGTGCTCCGCAACGGGAGAGGCCACGACAGTGAGAGGCCCACGTACCGCAAAAAACAAAACAAAACAAAACTCTGCATAATATTATAATGATGGAAATATGTCCTTATACATTTGTCCAAGCCCATAGAATGTACAATGCCAAGAGTGAACTTTAAGGTGAGCTATTGACTCAGGTTGATTATGATGTGTCAATATAGGTGCTTCCTTGGTCACAAATGTACTGTTCTGCTGAGTGATGTTGACAATGGGGGAGGCTGTGTATGTGTAGGGCAGGGGGTATATGGGCAATTCTTTATACCTTTCTCTCAATTTTGTCGTGAACTAAGACTGCTCTAAAAATAATCTTTAAAAGAAAAAAAATTAGGAAGGAACAAACGGGAAGATTCTTTGGTTTAAACTTGAAACTATATTTCACTTGATGGATATTTTCTTTTTTTTAACAGGAGTAAAAACTACATTTTAAGGATTACCAAGTGATATTGAAATGCTCCTGGCAACAGGGAGAAAGTAAGTGTAAAATTTTTTAAAATAATGCGAAAGAGAAATTCTTCACCAGACAGGGTAGGGGTTGGAGATAATTCTTTATGTTATAGTAGGATCTTAATACATATAAATCAGTTGATGTGCATGAAAGTCACATGTTTAAAAAAGCTTATTAATGACTAATGTAAGAAATATTTTATGGCCAGTAGTGTGTCTTACTCCTTTTTTATCTATAGAGTGTGGCAGATTCGCAACTATAACAAATAGATATTCAGTAATGTTTGTTGGGCAATTGAGTAAGTGAATTACTGAGTGAAAGAATAAATTGTAGGACTATTTCTACACAAATGGAGCTTCCAGAAATTTGCATGAGAAGATACTATTTTTTTAAAATATAAAAACCATATTTTCTTCTCAAATTAAGAGGGAAATGCAACCCTATTCTTTATTGATATCTGTTAAAACTATGGTCTTTTCAGGTATTTACATAAGATCACCTTCCAGATGTGCTGTTCAGTGTCACACGGGAAACATTTATCTTCACGTGCTTCTAAATCTCTCTTATGTGATTCATACTGAATCTCAGTCCAACCACTTAAAAAAAAATAAAAACAAACATTCCCTAAGGTGCTCGAGTTCATGCAGTTTCAATACACCTTATAAATGGCCATAAACCATGTGCAGCAGGACTCTAGAATAAATAGCCCTTTTAAAAAACTGAGCTGCCAACAAAATTGAGATTCCATTTTTAAACGATTTTCTGCAAAGTAAACATTTTTCAAGCTTGATCTTTGTGTAATTTTTCACTGGCACTTTTCAAGCCAGAAACAACCTGCACATGTTCTTTTTGTAAAGAAGGGTTTAACACTCCACTGTGTCACCAAGTCCCAGGGAGCTAATTTGTTCTAAAGACAACATTACTACATCAATACAACGCAGCTTAACCTTCAACTAACCTTATTCTGTTTGCTTGCCACATTCCTACTGAGCTTGTCAGCCAAAATTTTCCCTCAGTTCTGGCTTCGCTTCTCTCTAGGTGGAAAATATGTGCATATAAACTATGCTGCCTTTGTAGATCAGAGAAAGGCAATATTCACACAGTCCAACAATCACACACACACACACACACACAGACACACACACAGACACACACACACACACACACACACACACACACCCCTTGTTCCCTATCTTACAAAACATTGAATCAGTTTAGGGAGGCAAAATACTTAACACAGAACTCTACCTTAAAGCAAAGTCCCCAAAGAGAAATTGTAAAAAAACAAACAGAACAAAACCAAATCCCACTGTTTAGTGTTTTGGCTTGTGTGTTCATTTCTTCTTTTCTAAGGCCTTTTGTTCTAACAGCATTTCCCACATGAGCAAATGATGACCGTTCTTGGTGAAACTTCCATGAAACTAGTTCTTACCGTAATTTCGTCTGTTATTTCTCCCTTCGCTCTCCTTCTCTCCCACAGCCGTGATAAAGTAGAAGCACTTTCAGTGTTTCTTCATTTGTTGAATTCTCAGATTCAACTGATTTGTCTACATTTGAACATGCTAGAACTAGATTCTCCTCTGTGCTGATAAAGTGATGTTATTTTCTAATTTCCGACTGAAAAATCATGGAACACTGGTATGCTGAAACAGTTTTGAATAACTTTATTCAGACTATATGCTAGTTAGACAAGTTGACAGGTTCTCAATTTTTTTTGCAAAAGATAAAAATTCTAGTTAGAAATTGTAGCATGAAAAAGAGAACGTTCCATATTATTTTAAAAGGATTAATTTAGTCAACTAGGTGGTTTGCTGAATATTGAGGTCGAATCTCACTGTCTCAAATGACCATATATGCCCAAGGACCTGACATTCAGCTGTCAAAAAAAAGAGAAACAATAAAGAAAATATGAGCCCAAATGAGCTTGATAACCGAAGAATCACAAAGAATACCTTACCCTCAGAATGACGGATTTCTCTACAAAATTTGTCTCAAGGCTGGACAAGAACTCATGGGCAATAGAAATCTTTTCATTGGGGAAAACTTGATATTTTTAGCATAAGATGACACTATTCTCTCACCATCATCTTAGTTTTAAAATGTCCCTAAGCCAGTGCTTTCTTAAAATTTAGTGTGCTATCGATTCCTCATGGATGTTTTGCAAACAGAGAAGCAATTGTAAAATGTCTTAAATGCACTTTTATCTGACTAGAATGGTCAATGCATGAACTACAGAATCCGATTTCTAAGGTCTTTAAGATTTTAAATAGGATTTATGTTAGGTTCGGGATAATTTACATTACTTATATTTTATTGAATCCTAATGCCTTGAGAATTGACAATGCAGATATGACCAATGCCAATGTATTTTTGGAGAAAAACAACAGACATCTGACGTTACCGGTTGAATTGTATCCTTTCAAAATTCATGTTGAAATCCTAACCCACAGTGCCTCAGAACATGACCTTATTTAGAGATAGGAACTTTATGGAATTAGATTTGAGAGAGGCCCTAATCCCATATAACTGGTGTTCTTATGAAAAGAGGAAATTTGGACAAAGACATGTACACAAGGAAAACACTATAAGATGATAAAGGCAGACATCTACAAGCCAAGGAATGCCCAAAGTTGCCAGCAAACCACGAAAATCTAGGAGAGAGGCGCGGGACAGATTGCCCCTCACCACCCTCAAAAGGAACCAATCAGATTGACACCGTGATCTTGGACGCCCAGCCTCCAGAACTGTGAAATAACGTCTCTGTTGTTTAAGTTGTAGTACTTTATTAAGGCAGCCTTAGCAAACTTATCTGTCTGATCATCTCTTTTTCTAATACTTTCCTGAATCTCAACGTCTGAATGAATTGAAGTTTACATATTTAAGTCAGTGATTTCATATACTTGTTTTACTCAAAGTTACCTGTGAAGGTTTTTCAAAACACACATGCTCAGGCAAAACCTCAAACCTACTGAATCAGAATCACTGATATGGGGGTTAGAAATCGATATTCATGAAAAGTTTCACAGGGACGTTGCTGCACATCTTGTTTTGAGAATCACCGATCTGAAGTATGACTGGATCCCACAGTTCTGGGTGCTGTTTGTTCCTTATTTTGGAGGAGAGTGCTCTGATTTTGTCAGTCATGGGAGCTTCGTGGCAGTAACTTCAACCTTGGCTACACATTGGATTTGTCTGGGGGAGCTTTTAAAAACCACAATTGCAGGCTGTACCAGGATCAAATGAAAAAGAATCTCTGGGGTGAGATCCAGACATGGGTATTTTTTAAAATTCCATGTGGTTGCAATGTGTACTCAGAACTGAGAACCTCGGTTTTAAGGTTAAGAAGTAAAAGTTGTGGGCAATGACGAATCAGTTAATTAACATTGCAGAAGATCAGATAACTCTCTGTAACCCAAATAAATCAAGTAGCACCTCAAAACGTACTGAGCCGATTCTTTCTTCCTTTGTTCTCCATTTCTCCCCTTTTCTGTATCCTCTCTTGATTTCTTTCTCTCCACTCTCCTTTATCTTTCTTGGTCATTCAATGCTTTCCCTTTCCTTCTCATCCCATCTCATCTCTTCTCCAACACTAACTTGAAAAAAACATGAAACTGAAGATGGACACACGCATCATATTTTTGAGTCAAACTTTATTATCCCTGATCTTCTTTTGGAGAGTGTTTGAGCCGAAATATTTTCTATTTCTTTAAGAAATGACAGCATGTTCCAATTCACATGGGCTTGACATGTACACACTGCTATATTTAAAGTAGATAACCAACAAGGACCTACTGTATAGCACAGGGAACTCGGCTCAATATTCTGTAACAACCTAGTTGGGAGAAGAATTTGAAAAAGAAGAGAGACGTGTATACGTATGACTGAATCACTTTGCTGTACACCTGAAACTAACACAACATTGTTAATCAGCTATACTCCAATGTAAAATAAAAAGTTAAAAAAATTATAGATCATAGACATACTTGAAAAATTGTATTAGCCACTAGAGTTGTCTTGTTTTTTATTTCCAAGACAGTATGCTGAACCATGGCTTGACCTGTAGTTTTATGGTGACTAAAACTGTTGATAGCACAAAAAAAAAGAAAGAAAAGAGAGATAAATAACAGCATGTTCCAATTCACATGTTTTCTTAAGTATACACACCTCTCACTCCCCACCTGTCCTTGAATGAATGACTGTGGATACTCTATAGCCTTAGGATATTTCAGAAAGTTGTTCGGTTAAACATCAGGCTTCTGGCATTAAAGCGCTCAGGAACATCTTGGAGATGACAATGTTTTTCCATACCTAGGTCTAGTTCCCTGGTGCAGTTTTGAAGAACTTAGAAGACTTCATGGGGAACATGACAGCAGCTGCTAGAAGGCAGCAGGAAAGTACCATACATTGCACTCAGAAGAAGGTGTTGAGAGGGTAGCAATGAGTTGTCTCACCACTGATGAAACTTTGAATGGTGCCAAGAGTTAGGAACTGCCAACAAAACTTAAGACTGTGAACAGCGGATAAACTTATTTGGGGTTGAGTTTAATTCCCTGGCATTCTTTTCTAGGAAAACTTGAGTCTTCAGTTCCTCGGGACTGATGGCTTCATCCTCTTTCTCTTGTACTATCATTTTGTAAAAGAGAAAGATCTGTTTTATCAGACCAATACTTAGGTCCTAGCTGGCTCACAGAAATAACTCATCAGTCATTCTGGAGAATGTACTGCAGGCATAGTAAGACATCAAATCTATTCCCCCAAAAGCAAACCTGTATTAATGGTAGATGAGACCAAGCAGAGAATAAGTTATCTGCCACCCATTCTAAACTTTTCTCTTTTAATTTTTCTTTCTTTTTTTTTTTTTGGTTGGATGCCTTTTCCCACTTTCTCCTCTTTTTCTTCCATTGTCCTCACAATTGTAGTAAAGAATATAGTTTTAAAAAGTCTCCTGTTCCATGGATCTGTGTCCACAAACAAAATCAAATTTCATTATAAAGTGTGTTTCAAAAGTTGGCCATTTAGAAGTACCTAGTAGA